AGGCGTGACCTTTGCCTGTCTCCTCTTTAGTGTAGTGATGAGTATCCCCGCCTGTCAAGTAGGAGACTGGGGTTCGATTCCCTGATGGGGTGCTTGATGTTGCTTTTAGCCGTGAACCAAAGAAAGTCGCCAAACTCAAGTTGCAGGAGTATTGATGTTGGCTAGGTTGAGATGAATGGAGCCAGAGGAAGCAGGACAATCCAAATAATTGGCAAAGAAGCAAGAAGACATGTCCCTATGCTGTTAACATTTTGCCTTAAAATGGAAACCGGATCTCTTCTTAATTTGTGAATCCATTCACAGCAATGTTCTGGATCTTTGGGGAAATGATGGAAGGTTTAACCTCTATAAGTTTTGTTCCTTTTGGCAGATGTACATTTGGGAACACAGCAGTGAGGTGCCCATTGCTGGTATCCAGCAGTCCAACATTACTTTCCAACCGCCCCCCTTGCCTCGTAGTGGTTTAAGGCGGTGACATAGGTAAATAAGGCGAATTGCGTGCATCACAGGCCCTCGTCGCCTTTGGTTAAACATCTCCATGGCTATTGCAGTGGGTGCAGTCAAAATCACCACGTCAACACTTATGACGTCTTGGGTGATCTTTTGCCAAATTTATTTGGAATGATCCAGCTTATTTGCATAATATTACTCAGTGGAAACACAGTCCATTTACAGTTGTGTTTTGTCGTCTTTATAAAAAATTGCTTCTATTTTGCACCTGTGTAGGGGAATGGTGACATACATATGAAAAAAAGCAACTGTCTTCTTAAATAAATTGTTGAAAGGTAACTAGTACTGTTCTCTTAAACATCTGACAATTCTTTTAAATACAGGAAGAAAATTTTAAATAGGGCTATGCCATATGACCAAAATCTCATATCGCAATATAAATAATTTCACATTACGATAACGATATATATCACACCTGCACCTCATATTTATGGATTTTTTGTACAGATCAGCTGGCAAAAATCCGCAAATAAAAAGGAGTGAGGTCACAAATGTAATGCGATCCACAAATAGACGGGAAGCAATCCACAAACGTGCAAAACCCATTTCAAGGATACAGATCGCTTCATGTTTTTGTGTATATGATTGTATACAATACAATTAAAATACATATTTGTGGATAGTGATATATTTGTGATTTTTTTCTAGATCAGCTGCGGTATACGGAGCCCCTAAGAGGTCTGGGTGGGAAAATATTTTTTGAGCTTGAATACTTTTGAGTTCCCTTGCAATAGTACGGGGCACCAAGTGTCATGTTCATTTTGGTGTACAAAATATATATTCTGTACCACAAAAAGCATTATTTAATGATGAAATCAAGTAATGCAGACTTCACTTTCTGTCGTGCACAGAAATCAAAAGGAATGTTTCATTTTGTGCACAGAATTGATATCATCACTTTGCATTTCATGGACAAAATGCATTTCGTGAATTACAGTCATTTTGGGGACAAAAATCATTTTGTGAATGATTTCACTGGAGCTGAAGTTTATTCCAACACAGACAGCCAGAGTCAGAAGGGGCAATCCAGGGACGTAAATGGGGCACGGAGAGAGAAGTCAGAGAAGCTGAGATAGTCAAGACGAGGGTTGTCACCAGAAGAAGGGAAGTAGGACACAGGCGGGATCCGAAGAAGCGGGGAGGAACGGGAAATACACAGGAGGACAGGACTAGGGCTGCGCGGGAGACAAAGAGAAAGTGCTTAGTAAGTTGCATCGGAATTAACAATACCTTGCGTCAGAGCGATGCGAGGTTACACTTTTTAAAACCATTTCGTCAGGTGTGGGTGATTCCGTTGATCAGTTAATGCACTTTGCCCGTTGGGGGTGTGGTCGGGGTGTGACAATGTACATGATTAACAGAGGAGTAAACACAAGGCAGCTGTGGCCTGTTAAGAAGAGGACAGGAACAAGAGGTAAGACTAACAAGCTTTGGAGAGCAGACAAGCAGGGGGAGGCTGGACGTGACAGTGTGCACTTCATATTCAATAGCCCAGCTGTCTAGCTTAAATTTGTCACTTGCAGTGAATGGACACAGTGCAATTATTAATAAATATGTATAAAAACACATAGTATTAAAGTTGCATGGTGTACATTGTCCCCCATAGTTTACAACTTAAAGCACACTTTACAGGACATGTCTATTATTTATGTTTATCCATGGCATTTCATAGCACAAATACCTGTAGCAAGTGCATGGGTAAGTTTAGCGGAATCGCAAAACTATTGTGAGTGAACACAAAACTATTTCAAAAGATATTTGCCCACCTCTTAGGGGCTGCGTAGTGGTGCAAACTTGACAAAAATCCGCAAATGAATAGGAGCAAAGTCACAAATGTAACATAATCCACAAATAGTCAGGACATGATCCACAAATGTGCAAAACCCGTTTCACGTATACATATCTTGCCGTATGAAAAAAACGGCGTACCTAAGGGGAGCAAAGCAACGAGACCGGGGACACGGGACATGGAAAACAAAAGCAAAACATCAGCGGGGCACCAGGAACAGGACAGGCACACAGAACAGCCACAGGGACAAAAGGCAGGACAACCACTGACCGGGAATGCAGATAGGCAGAGGGGCACCAAAAAAATGAGACACAGGGGGAACACCAACGGGAGGAACAAAGGGGCCGGTAGTGAACGAAGGAGACACGGAGGGACGAGGAGCAGACACAGGAGCCCGGAAGGGAAAGGACGGGGAACAACAGGGAGCCCAAAGGAACCCCAACAGGTGAAAGGGGGTGGCCGCAGGGGCTACAGGCGACAAGAGGCTGGAGCAGGAGGGACCCTCAGCAACCGCGGGGCACCAGGGGAGGTGAGGAGGAAGTCGGAGGGGACCTCGGCGAAGGTGAGGAGGGAAGGGAAGTGACGGCGCAGCCGACCGACAAGCCAGAGTGGGGGGACCTCCAGGCGACCGACGAGTCGAGGCGGGGGAACCCGCAGGTGACCAACGAGGTGTTGGAGCCGGGATCGAAGTCAGCCGACGAGGTGCCGGAGGAGGACCTGCAGGCGACCGCTGAGCAGGAGCCCGGGGAGCTGCAGGCAACAGCCGAGTGGGAGCCCGGGGAACTGCAGATGACTGCCGAGCCACAGCCACAGGGGCCGAGGGCAAGCCAGGGGGCAGGGAGGGGGGGACACGACCCCGGCGCAAGTGTTCCCTCCCCTTCAGGGAAACCAAAAGGTGGGGACCCCACTAGGATCTACCATGCTGTGGTGGTGGTTGGGGAGTTACTTCCCCGAAGGGGTCCAGTGGGGGTCCTCTCCCTCTTCCCATCAGAGAAATCCCTGAGTGGTCCCATTCAAGCTCCTCCTCCCCCAAGGGGAAAGGAGCGGTGGTCGAGAAGTTCGGGACCTCCTCGGGGACATGGACTAGGGTAATGGGAGTTGGGGATATGGGAGCAGTGTCCAGGGTTAGGGTTAGCATTGTCCACAGGAACCCCTGGTGGCAGCGAAGCAGGTGGCGCAGGGACCTTGGGCAGAGCTGCAGGAACTGCCGGCACAGGAACCACAGGGGGCGCTGCAGGGGTCTGCACCTCAGCAGCAGGCATGGCCCCTTTAAGGACCTTCGGGACTGGCAGGTCAGGCTCGGGCAGCACAGGTAGGTCATGAACGACGGGTAGAACAGGCAGGTCATGAATGTCAATTATAAACAGGTTCTGGACTTCAAAACCAGACACCTCAGGGGGCAGTGCATCGGCCGCCAGCACAGGAACCACCGGGGGAGCTGCATTATCTGCCAGCACAGGAACCACAGGGGCAGGAGCCGGGGTTGGCGTCCAGGTAGCTGGTGCTACCCCTTTAAGAGCCTTAGGGATCCGTGGGATTGCATCCAATACAGTCCCGGAAGGGGTGAGCTACCAGTGCTGGCCGCACAGCCACGGGCAAACTTTTGGGGGTAGCGGATCATCCGGGCAACAAAGTGGCAGGTGGCCACTGTGAAGTGGCGGCGGTGACGCATGGAGCAAACACCGTCGGGTCCAGGATTTGGAGGGGTTCTGGGTTTCCAATTCCGCCACCCTCCGTCGCAGCTTTCGGAGATTGTCACGCACCTCGACTACGTCCCTCTTCTGTAAGGGACATCCCCTCTAAGATGTCCCGAGTCCGATAGGCCAAAGCCCAAGCCTTGGGATCGCCTCGGACTTCAGGCTGGGCGAGCCAGTAGGTAACCTCATCGACTAAACCGAGGTAGCAATCCTCGATCAGGGGGTTACCTGTTTTTGGAGTTCCGTCATTCTGTCATGTGTCGAAGTGCACCGACCGGGGAAGCAGGCGAAGGACAAAAAGGATTTAATGGGAAGACTTAGAGGCATACAGGATGAAAATCACCATAACAATACAATGAGGGAACTCGAGATACAAACTCTGATGTGAACTTAAATACACAAGACTAAGGGACGGAAATGCAGAACAGCTGAGAACAATCAGGAATTCACATGAGGTAACGAGGGGGGCGTGGCACATGGAAGGATTGTACGAGCCGGGTATGGCAATAGTCAAAATCAAGTCATGTAATGTTTTTGTTTTATAATCATACTTCACCGCAGACTGTATTACAGTGGGTTCACTGTGGGATCATATTCAGGAGGTAATTTAGCATAGGTTACCCCAAATCCGAGCTGATCTGGAATGACCAGAATGCTAATACAGGAAGTATGAATTAAAGCTGAATTGAACAAGGAGGTTACTGTTACTGATGTTACAGGAAAAGTACTTCAGGGCACAGGCTGACTTCCACATTTACATATCTTAGCATTTCCATCATATGTTTTTTAAGTTAGAGTGAAGTTGAATAAAAAGGTGAAAAGAGTAAAGAGACTTAAATATTAGATAATAGGAAACCTGTATTTAATAAAAAAAAAAATAGCATTCAAACACTAAACAAAAAAACTTCACTGTCAGGTGAAAAATCATTTATTATTTATTCATTACAGATGAACACAGAAATATATGTCTATTCATTTGTTTTCTTTTTTTTTATTTTATTCAGCTTTCTGGTTTCTCCGCGGACTCAATGCAACCAGAGAAGAATTACGACAGAGATGCAATAAAATCCAAACAAGCTGTGAATGATGACTACAGCAACACGGGCTATGACAGAGGGCAACTCAACCCGAATGGTTTCCAGTGTAATGAAGGCCGTGCAGCTACATTCACGCTGACCAACAGTGTGCCAATGGGTGCTTGCTTCAATCCTGTCCACTGGAAACACTGGGAAGGAGCTGTCAAGGACATTTTAAAAGCCCAGCCTAAAGGAGGAACTGCTTACCTGGTAACAGGAACTGTACCTTCAGTAGATGACAGGATACCAAATCAAGGGGAATTTGATGCTCCTACCACAAGAGATTACCAGAGAGTCACTGTTCCTACACATGTCTGGACAGCTGTGTGTTATAAGCATAATGTCAATGAGGAACTGTCCTTTTCATTTGGCTATATAGGGCTAAATCAGCCTGACAGTAGAATAAATGTGAAGACTGTACCACAACTTAATAATCAGCTGTCTACTCTTTATCAAATATCTGAAGTAAAAATTTTCATAGATGACTGTTTTTCTGAGAAGCGTAAAACCGAGGACATTGTGATTTTACAAGAAAATCCAGCTACCTATGATTCACGGACTGGTCATGTCTAATAATGTTCTGAATACATTTCACATTGCCATGAGCCAGTCTGACGATACAGGGCAAACGCCTTCAAAGAGACCAAAGGTAACAGAGGTCACAATACTTGAATCTTTCGACAGCCTGGAGACTTGGTTTGAAAAGACAGAGAGCATGAAATATGTGTCTGGGTTGGCTTGTGTACTGTCCCAGCCATTTACTGGGCCCATTAAGAGATTGAGCAGCACACGGATTGGGATAAAAGTTTCCACTGATGATTCTAAAGAGCTGGTTTGCAGCCTCGTTCCAGAGGAGGTATCAACCTGCACTACCTCTTGCATGTACAATGTAGACGCTAGAGGTTATTATTGCTACTATGGCATTACACAGAGATCATGTTCTCCTATGTATTCCATAATAACAGTCAAAGGAACCAAGTGTAACAGTGACCACACCTGTGGAACACATGGGTATGACTACTACTGGTGTTATGTAGGCAGTTCATGGGAGTATTGCAGTCCCCCCTTACCGATGGGCAAAGGGTATGGTGGAAGGTACTGCCGTTCCAACCACAACTGTGGCTGGTATGGAAAAACGTACACCTGGTGTTACACTGATTACAGTGGTACCTGGGACTACTGCTGCAGTACTGATGATAAGTACTCTGCTCTTAATGGCAAGACCTGTAAACCTTCACATCCATGTGATTATCACTCTTATAACTACCTTTGGTGCTACACCACAGATGGGTCTTGGGAATATTGTTGTTCCTAGTGATCCATCTCTTTCATTTCCACCAAGTTCAGTTTTTAATATAGTTCATTCATTCATTATATTGTAATTATAATAAACAAAATTGTGAAATCAATGTTTGCTTAGATTGGACAATATAAGCAGCTTGACTTTTAGATGCAAATTAGATTTCAAACTTGATGTTCAGACTTCATAAATGAGAAAAGATGAACATACAGTAGTGAAAGAAACCAGTGACTGTGAGTTAATTTAGGGGAAAAATCGGGGAATAATTAGTTGATCGGCTACAGTTTTGTACGATATATAGCCCTTGCTGTTCAGTCTTCTCAGATCCGCTTGTCTATGGGGTTGGTCATGTGGATGACTTTTCAGGGATAACAATTCCATCTGTTATCAACATGAAATTTCCTGTGGCCATTTGTCTCGTATGTTATTTATGTGTGTTTCACATTCCTGATTAGTAAAGGACATAAAGGATGATGCATTCTGTTGGAAACTGCCTGCACTTGCCAATTAACATGATGATAGTTAATAAATCAACGTAAACTCATAAACAGGTTATTTTAAATTCACTAAAAATGTTTTATTGTGTTAAAAAACTACCTGTGGCTAACAAAAAAATTCCAAAAAAGTCCATTACGAACGTCAGAACCTGTTTCCTTCTGCTCAGCCCAGCTGAAAACTTTTAATGCAAATAATGTTAATTACAAGTCATGTAGGAGTAGAACAGAAGTACATTTGGTGGCAAAAAGAGACACCAACTGGCAACCCTATGTTCAGTATTTAAAGGGTAATCTATGTAATGGGGTTTCTTGGCAAGACAAAGTTTTGAAATAGTAGTTAGAAGTGAAAATGTAATATATGCCTCAAGCTATAAATGAAATTTGCTTGTGTACAATTAATAATAAATGTATACATTTCAATGGACTATTATTTGTTTTGCATTTCATTATAGTGTAAAAAACACCCATTCACATATTTAATTTGCACCAATGCAAATATATTCATAAATTAGCACCTACAAAACAGGTTATTTTAACAAAAACCTATGTATTTATAAAATTACTGTCATGTCTTTAAGGGTTGAGATAAAATTAGTGATATAAAGGCAGTTGGTAGTTCAAAAATGTTAATGATAATTAATACATTTCTTTAAGTGATGTCAACTCAGAAATTAATTATTTTAAATTCACGCATAAATCTTTAGCAAGAATGACGCAAGGTTTTCAAGCAGATCAGTTTATGCAGTAAGAATGCAAGTAAGTAGCATTTTTTCTGATTTGCAAACAAGCACAATATCTGAGCACATAGAACATTTTGGCTAAATGTTTTATGTTAATTTAAAAGAACACATTTGAAGTAATTAAAATGTTTTAGTGTCTATGTACCTTAGTCTCCTTAAACGTTATATGGCTATTTAGTTGTTGGATGACTTAATGCATAATATTTTATATTAGTTTAAAATAACATATTTGGAGTCATCAGAATGAAAGTATTTTAATGTAGAAATTCTATTCTACATATATTATATATGTCCTAAATATTTTATACTAATTTAAAATAATACATAAGAGTTAAAGTGTTTTTTCTTCCATATAAAGTAACATATGGAGTCATTAAAGTACTTATATGACTTTGATAACAAAAACAACATGAAAGTTTAGTTAACGTTTGACTCTGTATATATATACGCCTATTTAGTTGCTTGATAACTTAAAGTAGACCTCGCTAAATATTGAGTGGGAAAGAAAGTGTTTGTTTTTCCTTGGTCTCCTCAAAACCTATATGGCTATTTAGCTGCTACTATAATGGACATTATGCAAAAATTATATTCTATATACTTTACAATGCACATTCTAAATATTTTATGCTAATTAAAAAACATCACATTTTCTGGCTCCCTATGCTGTTGGCTGTTATCCCAGCCTGGTATGTGCTAAGCTCCCTATGCTGTCAGGTAACCTCTCTGACGATACGTAATGCACTGTTCAGTGATTTAATTCAAATGCAACGTGCAGCTACCAGGTAGCCGGAGGACCAGGATGCAGCCTGCAAATCATGCAGTGCTGGCCGGTCTCATCATCCCTGACCTCTGCACTATATTGCACCTGACCGGGACACTTTATTGTTTTGTGGATTCTGGAGAAGATGGAAGTGACTAAAAGATAAATTATTAATAGACCCATAATTCTATTGGCATACTTGGCTAGCCAGATTCCATAGTGTATATAATTGATCAGCCTCCCACGGTATTTTCTCATTTAGTGTGCACTGGGAAACACGTCACGCTTGTAAACTTGCCTCCCTTCTGTTTGCTCTTGCTTTATTCTTCTCCTTGAGAGCAAAATGAAAACTTTTGGGCACAGATTCCTGGAGCAATATATATCATGAGGCCGGCCTATTTGTTGTTGCCAGTAATCATCGGCTTGTAAACAGAGCCGGGGTTTATTGGGTCCATTGGAAGACAACGTCCCTGGGTATGATCAAGTCTGACTGCAGCACTAAGAGTTATACTGAGAAGGCTGAGAACACATAGCGACTGCTTCACACCAAGGCTACACTATTTCCTCCATTTGTGGTGTGTGCTTGTGTGGTTTTGCAGATATGAAGCTCTCGTTTTTGAGGTTGCAGGAACACCTTCAAAAAAATAACGCCGGTCTTTACCAGCACTCAAACCATGCCTTTGTGTGGGGCCCCTGAGGTTTGGGGGCCCCCTTTTGGCCACAAACAGTCACTACAGTAAGGAGTTTTTTGAAGGGGACCCCAGAAATAACAAACCAGCCCCTGCAAATAAATGCACAACATGGGATCTTTTATTCATAAATCTTTTTGTAAGATTTTTGGGAATGGGTAAGGGATAATTGCATTAAAACACGCAAGTAAATGTTTGTGTGTGTGTGTGTGTGTGTGTGTAGTCCTGGTATACATTGCAATGAGAGGACCAAATGTCCCCACAATGTGATAAAAAAATGTTAAAAATTGTTATTTTCATTTTGTGGGGACCATTTTTTTCAGTCCCCAGAAGGGGAAATTCAGTTTTATAAAAATCTGTGATTGCTATCTAGAAATTAAAAATTCCAAAAGTCTTTTATTTGGTTACTTGTGGTTAAGGTTAGGGCTCGGTAGGATTTAAGGTTGTCATTGTTGGCATTAGGGTTTTACCCATAAGAATGAACGGAAAATTCCCACAAAGATATGAATACGAATGTGTGTGTGTGTATGTGTGTGTGTTTTATGGGGGAAGTTATTAATTTTGGAGAGCCCTGTGACCATCACACAAAACTATCAGAGATGGACTTTTGTTCCGGGTTACATAACAGTAGCATTTCATTTGCTGTGATTATGATTCGGGAAGCCTCAAGCTCGGGAAACAGATACTGTCGGGTAATAAATACATTGCGGTAAATCCATTAAAAAGCCATTTGGACCTAATTGCTTGATCTCAGGGTGGACCTTGGTAGAGAACCATACTAATAGAATTAGAGTGGGCGGCAGTGTCTGCAGTCTCCTATCAGCAGGGTGGCGAGACAAACCCCAGACAGCGCTTGTCAGTCCGTCTGGGACACAGTGGGGTCATCTGGAAAAAAAGAAGGTGAACATTTTTTTACAGAAAGAAACAATCCATTATTTACAGGTACACTGGAATGCTCCTTTTCACAAATCTCATACTTCTCTCCCATTTACAGTTGTGAGTGAAGCTTTGGGCACAAGTACAGGGTCAGCTATTTAACCAGCCAACCTGGAGCATTTTTGGGGGGTGAAAGCCATCATCATAGGCCCAACAGAGGTGTGCCTATGCTACCCCAAGCAGGATCCACACCTGCAACCTTCTGATCACAGCCAAAGAGGCCAAACCAGCTGAGCTAGAAAGGGGCACTTAGCTGTTCTTTATCAGACTGTCTCAGTTCTTTGATGGTTTGGGTCGTACCACATGTGACTCGCATGGGTGATGTGCTGCACTAATATTCCTTTAGCTTTGGGATTACGTTGGTGTTGTACTGCTGCTGTTTTGGGGTTACCCTGGCATTCTGTTGAGGTTGTGTTGTTTCAACTCAACATCCTTGTAGATTGTTCAGGACCTTAAACCACAAAATAGTGAGTCTCACCTCCTGATCTTGATTCTCTGAGTCATACTGGTAATTTACTTTATTATGGTTTATCAAATTGCACTCTTTTGGCATTTTCAGATGCTCACTCAAAGGTCGCCATTGGTCATTAATGAAGCATGAACGCTTTCCCAACTGAACTGTCAGGGTCGTATCACTATATTCTGTAGAAAACACTCAACTTGTCTACGTGAGAAACAGATTACAATAAACTGAAGAGGCCTTTTAATTTTACAGCTCTCTCCTGTACATAGTTGATGAACTGAAACAGTGATGGCATATTCCATCCAAACTCTTTTTTTTGTACACTACAGAGTGCTGCAAACACAACAGATTTATGCATAAATGATACTTAGAGAAGAGCTGCAACAACACAAAATCCATCCCTGAAGGCCCATTATAATGACGCCCAACATTTAAGCCAAACTTTCCCACCATTTTTAAACTGAATCTTGCTCATCTACTGAGAAAAAGATCCAACTGTGGGCTCTGACATGGTCTGATAACTGAGGCTGAGTAAATATCCCAAAAACAAAGGCTATACTCATCATTAATCTTTGATGTCTTTGCACTGCTCATTAATATTTAATGGATTTTAATTTAAAGAACAGCATTTCATTTCCAGTGCCAGGTTTATGTTGCTATTAACGGACAGACAACAGGCTCATACATGCCACATGTGACCTCCAAGTTAAGGTTTTTAGTGTGATTTTGTGCTGAATAAGTCACACAGCTTCTTCATAACAAGGAGGGAGGGAGCGGACCAAAGCAGAAATGTGAGCTCCTGTTCTTTCTGGAGCATTAGTTATTTTCTCATTCTTATCCTTGGATTCTCAATAGTTACCATCAAAAGAGCTGTTCGACTTCTGTGAATGAGAAGCTGCTGAAAGCCTGTAGGATTTGAACGATTTTGAAAAATCCTGTATCAAAACCTTGAATAGTGGGCTCAGAACTTTATGATGGTAAATTAAAGAATAGAACATATTCCTTGGACAAAAGGATATACTTCATAGCATTAGGCAGGCTGGTTAGTGGGGTACAGGAGCAGCACTTACTGCTGGAAATATGTATCTTGCCATACAAGATTAAAAAAATCAAATATGTAGTTATTGAATTGAAATTTATACAATATGGCATATCACCTGGCCACATGACAGGGGAATAATTCAATTTAGGCCAAATAAAAAGAGCATTTCTGTTCAGCATATGCTAATTATATCTGCAGGGGGAGTCAAAATAAAGCAGTGACTAAATTTTTGATGGCGACTTCTCTTCATCCTGCGTGCCTTAACACAGCTATTAACGTGTAATTTATGCATTAAGGAGAAGTTGCACTTTGTTGTCCGTGAGCAGAGACTTGCGGGGAATAACCCTCGGTACATTCAGAAAACCAAAGCTGGACCCTTTGCCACAGGATGGAATTTCTTAGTGAACAATTCAATTTGGATGCCTGTCTATACATCGTGTTATGAACTAGGGGGCCAATTTGACTTCAGAAGTCAGAGTGACCCTCCCACACCAAAATAAGGCTTAAAAATATCTGAAATAAATTCTGATCCTTTACTCCTCCAGTTCCCAAGGGCAGCATTACATCCTGCAAGGTATAACGGCTATTGCTCTCCGTTTACGGCTTTCTGGGAATCTGCTTCTCCCATTTATCATACATGCTAGTCAGATAAGTAAAATGACCTGCTGCAATTGATTCACCTGCTCAGATGAGGCCTGTATGCATTACACTGTAAATATTGTGCATAAAGTCAGTCTCATACATAATAATCAGCCCATATAAATTAAGCTGCTTATCTATCTATCTACAGTATC